TCATGTGCCAATCATTTCGTTGCTGCAAATCACCAACGAAGAGAACACGGCATGGCCACCATCTGAGGTGCACGCGCATGCGCCATGGTGGCAAGGGGAAATGCAATGTAAACCTCAGCCATCAGAAAGGTTTGATGTGGCTGTCCAACAAAATGGAGTCTTTAACCCCGAGTTTATGGCATTTGTTGATTCGAAACATGAATCATTCCTTTGGAAATGGGGATTTTGTCTGATCATGGCTTTATTCTACATACAAAATCACTGTCATTAGATTCATATGTGTATACATATATATAAATATATATACACGTTTTGTTGCTGCACTCTGTCACGCGTCTACGAGTCTACAGGAAGTCGTCCTGAGCTCTGGAAAGCTGCGGGACCAAGGCATGCCACCAGGGAGCCAAGTAGGTGCACCACGAGACAGCGGCGCGAGCCTTGGTTTAGGGCTTTTCGGTTTGCTGGCAATGTGATGAGGATGATGGGAATATAATAGGGGTGTACCCAACCATACGGACCTGATATTTGATACTTGGGATTACTTGTGTCTGAAAATGTGGGGTATACTGATACTGTATACTTCCAATTTGTGGCATCTTATATGATAATATATGATGGGGAAAACCCTGGGAAGCCATGATGATCATCCATTGGGTTTTTTGCGAGGAAAATCCGTGCTGACTATTTCTACCATCTTTTTGGATCTGCATCCCCTGGTTAGCCAACTACGACATAATTAAACCATATTGGATCAACACATCCAGGCGTATCACTGGGTGGAAGGAAACCTGCAGGGAGCCCTTGTTCGACCAATGAAGGCAGACTCGGGATTTTTTCTCCCGTAAGCCAATTCCAGAAATTGAAACACCACATACCCCCAAATCCGTGGTTTAAAGTTTAAATTAATCGCATGTTTGAAGCATAGCGCATGTGTTTCCAAATAACAAAGTGCAGATATCAATCCGGGCATCGTGAAATATCCATGGCAGAGAGGTCCTTCGGTTTCCGCACCCATGCCATGGTAGCACTGAGCAACGGCCCAGTCACCAACAGGACCCGGGCCAGGTCCTGACCAACCGATCTGCAAAAAAAAACAGAAGTTCCACTTACCCCCTGGTAATTTGTCACATAGCTATTGAAAATGACAAATGTATAGTTGATTCACCTGTTAAAGATGGTGATTTTCCATAGTTATGTTAGCTTACCAGAGGGTAGCCTCTGGTGTCACCATGGCAATGGGAAATGCACGGAAAATGAAGTTTTCATGAGAAACCAATTAGAAACCGTATGAGAAAATCATCGGTAAGTCACCCGGTAAGTGGTGGATTGTCCGTTGCCATGTTTGATGGCCGGACAGTAACCACCCCAAAAACAGAAGATGCTAGCACTCAATATCAGGTCGTATCTCTTTGGTGGGTACTATTCCCAACCCGGAAGAATAGGAAGGAAACGGCCCTGCCTAGAACTGGGTATAGTTAGGCACCAACATGTGGCTTTGTCATGCTTTGTCTGAAGATTGGGCACCCCCAAAATCAAATGAATCATACATATATATATATATACATATTCCTATCAACATGCTATAAATTCGGTTTGTACCTCCATTACCTTGCAAAGTCATGTGTTGCCAGGCATTCTGTGAGATTTTGATGCTTGGTCGAGTTGATTTCCCCCACGGTGCGGAAGAGAAAAAAGTACCACAGCTGGGCCCTGAAAGGGGACTTCACCAACAACCCATGCGCTATCAATGAGGTGTTTGTTGGGATTTCTCTGGAGGTGGATTTCATACAGCTAATACATATGGACAGCCAGGGGATTTTGTACAACAACGTATACCTCTCACGAACTTGCTGGGGTAACATAGCAAGCCCGTGGCGTTTTGCACAGTCTGTAGTATACAAACCCGAAAAAAACAACAAAAAATATGTATGTATATATATATATGTGTGTGTGTGTATTTATTTATTTATTTATTTATTTATTTATTTTATTTATTTGTTTATTTATTTATTGTTTTATTTATTTATTTGTAATTTATATAATTTTAAAAAAAATATATATATATAAAACAACATTTTCCAGGATGTCAGAGATATTCTCATATACCAGATGTCCAAAATTGTCCAAGTCTTCCTATCTATTTGGCGGGTGCTTTGCGGATGAGACCTGAGGCTTCACGTCGCTCACGTCTCCCGTCTGCGCCTGCTCCCTCCGTGTCATGGAAAAATCCAACTGAGCGATGGACACAGAAGCAGCCACCTCAGAGAACTGAGGAAAGCGTCTTTTTGGGGGGACCTATTCCCATTGGGAAAGTTGGGAAAATTGAAAAAAAGTGAAGGAATTTGAAATTACGTTCACCCAAAAAAAAGGGGAAATGATTCATTTTGGAGGAATGGGAAGTGGCAATTTGTGATGGACAATTTATCCTACCAGTAAATGGATAATGAAAAAATGAAATTATCATGATCATTCATGATCTAACTATCAGCCTTCCACAAGACGGAAAACGGAAACGCATCATGCGTACTTCTTCCAGTTTGAGGACCGGATTTGACGCTCAAGTTTGGAAACGCCATGGGCATGGAGTCTTCCCAAGTTTCCGAAACAACCAACCACCATCCAACCGCAGCCACTGAAGCCCCAGGCCATCACAAAGGCCACGCAAAAGGCGGGCCAGGGTGCTCCATCTTGGATGCTGCAGTAGCCAATGCAATAGTAGGCCTTGTGGAACCAAGGCTGCTGGATGGTTAAAACCGTAGAAAGGCGACCCAAGGGCGACCTCAAAATGCAATTAACATCGTCTATTATATGTTAAGTGTTGCAAAACGCAGTTTCTAGTCACGTAGGATCATCATCATGCCTTTTTTTGGAAGGTGTACAAATGTAAAGTAAACCACAAACCAGCGGAGACGCGGATGGAGCTGTTGGTGCTGGTGCCAAGAATATATAGACATAGATAGATAGATAGCTAGATAGATAGATAGATAGGTAGATAGGTAGATAGGTAGATAGGTAGATAGGTAGATAGATAGATATATGTATATGTATATGTATATATATATATATACAATACGTATATAGTATTGGTATGTACTGGTGCCTTTTTGAAGCAGATGTTGTGAAAGGTTTGTCCCTGAAGGAGGCGCGCTCCAAAGCCCCAAATTGTTTTCGAACAAATTGTATGTAATTGTCCCGATGCTTTGATCAGTTTATAATCAGTTTATAATCAGTTATAGATTATCATTCATGTTTCTATATATTTATATATTATCAGTTTTAGGTAATAATCATTTTAAATAATCATTTATAGATATATGATCTATAATCATTTATAGATTATCATTCATAATCATTTATAGATTTATAATCCACATGTTTCTATATTTTCCTAAGCCCATAGAAACATATAGAAACCTTATCAATTACCGAGCAAAAATCCTGGAACCAAGGCACCACTGCACTCAGCAGCTGGTGGGTTCCACAGGACAAGGCCTAAAAAAGCTGGAGCCGGTTGGAAGTTCTGGTGGTGATTGAGCCAGTGAATGCTTAGAAATACGGTTGTTATATGGTTATCCTATGGTTATCCTATGGTTATCATATGGATATCATATGGTTATTATGTGGTTATATATCATATGCTTAGAAAATATGGTTATCATCTACCTACTATTACTGATTGGCTATGATAGTTGTATACGATTGGTGCATGGAATTATCTACTTGAATGGTGATCATCTACCTACTATTAATAGTTATTGATATTTATAGCTATGATAACCATATTCTGGTAGATGATAACTCTATTGTGGTTATCAGACGGTTATCATGTGAGGGTTTCCATACATGGTGGATACCCCCAATAGCTTGGATGTTTTATTTCATGGAAAATCCATCTATAAATGGATGATCTGGGGGTACCCCTATTTCAGGAAACCTCCATATGGTTATCATCTACCTACTATCATGGAGTTCTTGATCGTTATTGATAGTTATTTAATAGCTACTGGTTGGTGCTCAAAGTTATCATCTCAATGGTGAATAAATGGGGTTGAACAGCAAGTTATAACTTCCAGCCTACTATCATTTACCTATTGGTATCCTACTGGTTGTTGCTTGTGTGGGGGGGGACGCCCATAAGCTCAAGCGCTGCCGCTGGGAGAAGGGAATCTGTGTTCAAAACCCTCCAGATTTTCATGGTGGCATTTTCAAGAATGAGAGAGCATGGGAATATATCGAGATAATAGTGAGATCATTTTTCATTGTCAGCCAACAAACATGGAGATATCATGGGGATATCCTTGGGCATACAATGTGGGTATATGTAGTTGTGACATAATAGGAACATAATATGACATAATGCGATATCATGGGAATATCACGGGGGTATGTCAAGGTGATTTAATGGTGACATATATAATATTCCAGTAGGACAATAATGGGGGGTCGGTCCATACATACTGGTTGGGTAATGGGGCTTCTCAAAATGGATCGTTTTAATCCCCAATGTATTGGATAGCGTAAATCCAGCGCAATCATCAACCAACAGGGGGTTGGTAAAACACTGCTCAAGTGGCAGCGAGTAGATGGGTAAGGAGGATATATTCTCCGAAGTTGGACCTGATTCTGTTTTGAGTGTTACAGCCAGTTACAGCATTATGTTTTTGCAATGTAAATGATATTTGTGTGTCTTGATTCCGAAGTTTGTGTTGTTGTTAAGCGGGGTTCAAGCCCTGCGAGAAAAGACACAGTGCATTGGAATGACCGTAATGATCATAGATGTCATATGTCCTACAGTATGTTCATGCAGGCGTTTGAATGAATACGCACTAAACACACGAAACAACATATGGATCTCTCCTAGCCAAGGGTACCCTCCCAAAAAGAAACCATCTATGATCCATTTCAGGATGAACAACTCGTAGGTGGCGCAGTTCTTTTTGAAACTTGTTCAGCCCTATAATCTTCCCCATTTTCCAGTATATCCCCAACTTCCACACCCATCTTTTTTTCTCCTCAGAGTTGTTTCCAATTTTCTGAAGCCAACTCAGGAGTGTATGGCGATGCTGGCGCAGAAGGTCATGCCAGCCCCGTAGCCCTCCTTGGGCCAACGAGGAACTGGGATCTAAACCTCTGGATTAAAACAATGGATGAATCAAAAGCCACCCATTCTATAGTCATCCCCAAATAGATGGAAAAGTCAATCACCATCAAATTAGTAGGGATTTACTTTTCCACCTATTTGGGGATGACTTTACATAGTCTTATTCTTGGGTTTGTCCAAACCATTGGGCATAGCCTCAAAACTTGCAAGCAACCGCTTGGATGTTCCAGATGTATTTGAAACTTGGGATTCGCAGAAGTTGGGATTCGCCAGAAGGGATGGGCACATGCTGGGGTGACATTTTTAAAGGGGCCGTTTCCGGACGTTTGCCCCTACCTATCATGGGCGGATCGCAGTCCCCACCCTGTATCCGCAGTCCGCAGAGTTTCGCCACGGTCCTTTTTTGGGCAGCGATCAACAGTTGCGGATTGCGGAGCAACCATGTTGCTATGGGTCAGCAGCATGGTGAATAGCAAGATTCAGCTGAACGGTGTTGAACGGCGCCTCTGCCATCCCCTTGTACTGCTTGGTTGATGCATATGGATTCCTATTCTGGGTGGGTTCATAAACCTCAACGAACCAGCTAGGTGCATAAGCTCCAAACTGTCGTAGCAAATCAACCATCAGCCAACCATCATCTCTCCATTGTTCATCTCATATGTTTAGCGCTTCAAACCCATCTTTTGGTTACCCTCCTGTAAACTAATGTAGATGTGGATAGGTTTGGAAAACAATGGGTTTCCACATTTTTTTGCATGTTTACCCCAGAGTAAAACTCCCCATGGCTTTAACATTCACACTGAAATGCCATCATTGAACATCATGTTTAACCATAGCTCATTTCACAATATTCTAAGCTGCAAACCCATTTGTTCATCGTTAACATTACCCTCTGGTAATTTAACATAGCTATTGAAAATGTCCCATGTAGTTCGTTGATTTACCCAGCTAAAAAATGGTGGATCTTTCCATAGCTATGTAAACGTTTACCAGAGGGTACCCCTTCACATCAGTGATCCATATTTCATCCCCACCTGATAAACCTTATGGTCCCAGGCTCAGGGATGTACAGCTCGTAGCGCTGACCCAAGTAGTCCACGGCTAACAACCTGTCAGGTCAGCGGCGGTTTTTTTTCGCCGCAGCTGAGTTTTTTAACCACGAAAATATTGGAAAAATATGGCCCTAGATGGTGCGGTATATGGGAATATGCAACAAAACTGTGGATGGTTGCGAAATCCTGCACCACCACGGATGGTTTTCTGCTGATGAATAATGGGATAAACCAGCTATGAACTGGTGCAGGATTTCGCAACCATCCACAGCATGTTCAATGGGCATATGATATATGAATATAGTTACATTCCATGTATCTCTACATATTTACTTCATATAATCATATAGAACATTATAGAACTACATAAATGAGCTGGATAGGTACATAAACAAGGCTGACATGTTTTGATGCCGAATGACGAATGCATTTTACTTTTTGCCAATTCAATTTGGAAACAAAGTTTCGCGAAACAAATGGCCTCACATCACGAGATGTTGCATAGGTGTCCACCCCTCACAAAGGAAAGTGATACCCATTTGACATAGACAATTTTTCAAGAGACCTAGTATCAGCGTTGGACGGAACCTGTTCACAAAAAGATACAAAACAAAAAGCAAAAAGATTACATATATGATCGGTGGCGCGGTCACTACTACATTTCTGTGTCATTCCTTTCCGCTTTTACACATACCACATCGACCATCAAGCATCACACGGCCAATCTTGGATACCACAAAACAAAACAATGGCTAGCAATCAAAAATATCCCCAGGTTCAATGAATTACCAAACAATGGCCGGTAAACCATGGTAAACCTACCCCACACAAAATGGTTGGTAAACTGGTAAACCTACACTCCACCCATCCAGTTGCTTTCCCCAGGCCCCCGAGGCCCCCAAGGTTCCTAAGGCCCCCGCTGGCCGGGGCCCATTCCTTCTGGCACCAAGACCTGGATCTCTTGAGTCTGACCTTCCATGCACGCCTCAGCGACTAGAAAGAGTCTGGCAGGGAGCTCAGCCCCAGTTGTGGGTTGTTTTATGTTTGTGTGCATTAAAAACCAGATGCAGCCCACGAACCCGAATGCTCACACGTATGTTAATGGTACAGATGTCAAAGCACATGGATATGCAGTCACGCACAACGCTTTTCTGCAATAGTTTATTTGAACAGTCTTGTACATAGTTCCCCTGTTACCAGTCTGCAGTGTGGAGTGGGAAGTGTAGAGTGTGGAGTGTGGAGTGAGGGATGTGGAGTTTGTACATTGTGGAGTGTGGAGTGTAGAGTGTAAAGTGTAGAGTGTGGAGTGTGGAGTGTAAAGTGTAGAGTGTCAAGTGTGAAGTGAGGAGTGTGGAGTGTAAAGTGCGGAGTGTAAAGTGAGGAGTGTGGAGTGTAGAGTGCGGAGTGAGGAGTGTAAAGTGTAAAGTGTGGAGTGCCGAGTGTAAAGTGTAGAGTGCGGAGTGTGGAGTGGAAAGTGTAGAGTGTGGAGTGTGGAGTGTAAAGTGTAAAGTGTAAAGTGTGGAGTGTGGAGTGTGGAGTGTGGAGTGTAAAGTGTAAAGTGTAAAAGTGTAAAGTGTAGAGTGTGGAGTGCAAAGTGTAGAGTGGGGAGTGGGGAGTGGGGAGTGTGAAGTGAGGAGTGTGGAGTAGAAAGTGTGGAGTGTAAAATGTAGAGTGTGAAGTGTGGAGTGTAAAGTGTGGAGTGTAGAGTGCGGAGTGTGGAGTGCAACGTGTAGAGTGGGGAGTGGGGAGTGGAAAGTGTACAGTGTGCAGTGTAGAGTGTGGAGTGTAAAATGTAAAGTGTGGAGTGTAGAGTGTAAAGTGTAGAGTGTGGAGTGTGGAGTGTAAAGTGTAGAGTGTGGAGTGTGGAGTGTAAAGTGTAGAGTGTCGAGTGTGGAGTGAGGGGTGTAGAGTGTGGAGTGTGGAGTGGAAAGTGTGGAGTGTGGAGTGGAAAGTGTGGAAAGTGTGGAAAGTGTGGAGTGTGGAGTGGAAAGTGTGGAGTGTGGAGTGTGGAGTGTGGAGTGGAAAGTGTAGAGTGTGGAGTGTGGAGTGTGGAGTGTAAGGTAAGGAGTGTGGAGTGTAGAGTGTGGAGTGAGGAGTGTGGAAACCTTTGAAAAGGAGAGGTTTTGCAGCTTCCCCCATAGACACGGCGATGCCACAACAACACCAGAGACTCAAGACAAGACACGTAGGAACATCAAAACGATCATTTCGCGCGAGACTTCCTCCAATTTTCACAGTTTGAAACATGCCGAAAGGACATGTTTTGCAGCTTCCCCCATAGACACGGCGACGCCTCCAGAAAACCAGAGACTCGAGTGGGAGCACCAAAACGAGCATTTCGTACGAGACTTCCTCCAATTTTCACACTTCGCAGCTTCAAAATCGACGTTTTCCTACGAGTTTTCCTAGGAACCTGGAAATCTTGCAACCTCAAAATCGATGTTTCATGCGAGGCTTCCGTCAATTTTCAGCACATGTCACAAAATGCCACGCCTGCCACGGAATTTGCACCTTGTCGCCACTTGACGCAGCCCTGCCAATGCGATTTACAAAAAACACGCAACAGGACACGTCTAAAGTGCTGCGCCTGCCACGAAAAATGACGATGGACACGTCCAAAGTGCTGCGCCTGCCACGAAAACTGCAACACATCTTCTGACAACGTCACAAAAGTATTGCGCCTGCCACGCAAAACGACTTTCGACACGTTCCAGAACACGTCTGAATGTCACGAAGTGCCACGCCTGTTACGCGAAACGAAGCAACGACACGTCTGCAACCCCCAAAAAGGACCACCTCTGCAGAACTTCCCATAGGCACAGCCATACGGGGATCGCGCGAACGGTTGCGAACGGTTGCGAATGGTTGCGAACGGTTGCGCTCGTGAACGCAACGTCGAGCGAACACACCCTCAACCCCCAGACCCCCAGAGTGAAACGGGAACCCTTGCTACGCATTCGGGAAAAATCTAGATAGATTAGAGTAGATTAGATTAGATCAGATCAGATCAGATTAGATTAGATTAGATAGGTAGATTAGATAGGATAGATAGATAGATAGATAAATAGATAGATAGATAGATAGACAGATAGATAGATGGATAGAGAGATAGATAGATAGATAGATAGACAGATAGATAGACAGATAGATAGATAGAGAGAGAGATAGATAGATAATTGGATAGAGAGATAGAGAGATAGAGAGATAGATGGATAGATGGATAGATGGATAGATGGATGATTGGATACATGGATACATGGATAGATCGGTAGATAGGTAGATAGATAGATAGGTAGATAGAGAGATAGAGAGATAGAGAGATAGAGAGATAGAGAGATAGAGAGATAGAGAGATAGGTAGATGGATAGAGAGATAGATAGATAGATAGATAGGTAGATAGATAGATAGATAGACAGATAGTGGAGTGGAGCGGAGTGGAGTGGAGTGGAGTGGGGTGGAGTGGGGTGGAGTGGAGTGGAGTGGAGTGGAGTGGAGTGGGGTGGAGTGGAGTGGAGTGGAGTGGAGCGGAGCGGAGCGGAGTGGAGCGGAGCGGAGTGGAGTGGAGAGGAGAGGAGAGTAGAACGGAGTGGCGGAGCTAAGCGCAAGTATTTAATTTTCACCTGCTTGCCAATGACATGGAATGATGAGGAACATTGATCATTGAGAAAAAATGATTGCAAAAATGGAATTTTAAAATGAAATTTCAGTACGACCCCCCCCTCCAATCCCATTTTTAAGAGGGTAGGGATCCTGCTTTCGGCTCTGCTTTCACGGCTCGACCTTGACGCACTCCTTTCGCACGGCTTTCGCGCGTGGAGGTTTTGCTTTCGCGGGGGGTTCCCCACATGAACCCGAATACTAAATCCCTTCATGGAAGTTTTTGGTGCTGAACAAATGGAATTTTAAAATGAAATTTCAGTACGACTTCCCCCCCCTCAAACTCCATTTTTAAGAGGGTAGGGTTGGGAGTTGCATGTAAAACGTGGTTGTGTCAGCTAGTTCCAAGCTTCAAGACAAATCTGTAGGATGCGAACTGCACATGCACGCGCTCTGTCAACAAGGAATGTTCTGGAAGGCCGGGCACACATCTCTGCACACATTGCCACTGATGCTGCTTCTGTTTACCAATTCCAGGTCGTCAGGTGTCCAGTAACCTTGAATCACTAGATCTAACAACGAGAGCCCATGAGTTGAAAGTGTTCTGCGAATTTGGAAACAAGCTGTCAGTGCAGGGCAACAACACCTGTTCAATGGAATTTGCAAAACTCAGGCGACGTTGCATTGTTGCTCTATGTTTGGTCTGCATCATCTTGGAAGCGCACCACGAAACATGCCTGAAAAGGAAATGCATCATTCCTGAGCGGCTATGCCACTACCGTAGCTCCTGGCGCTCACAGAGAAGAGAGTGTTTTGACCACTCATTATATGATTTCACTTCAGAAATGGCAGCCTCCATCGCAAGCCCCAAGGGACACAAACTCCAAGGTCGAGAGAAAAATCGCTAAAGCAAAATCAACATAAATTCTGTGGCCGGATATGCACAGCATTCAACACTTGGTTTCTCTGGAATCCCTGCCCAATAAAAGACACGCCTTCACGGAAAGATTGTTAGCAAAATAGAGCTTCTCTTGCAACTCAAAGAGATCTGAATATCAACCACCTAAGAAACAGTGAGGAAACAGGACTCTCAAAAACAGCGTTTTGACATGGAAACAGCGACGCGGTTCAAAGGTGGCTGTCAAGGGGAGCCGTCGAATCTTGGTGGGCAATGGGAACAATCAAACAAGCTAGGTTTGGGAGTTGCATGTAAAACGTCGTTGTGTCAGCTAGTTCCAAGCTTCAAGACAAATCTGTAGGATGCTAACTGCACATGCACGCGCTCTGTCAACAAGGAATGTTCTGGAAGGCCGGGCACACATCTCTGCACACATTGCCACTGATGCTGCTTCTGTTTACCATTTCAAGGTCGTCAGGTGTCAAGCAACCTTGACAAGGGTGGACGTCACTTGGATGTCTCTAGAACTGCCAATGAGAGACCATGAGTTGGAGGTTTTCTGCGAATTTGGAAACAATGCTGTCAGTGCAGGGCAACAACACCTGTTCAATGGAATTTGCAAAACTCAGGCGACGTTGCATTGTTGCTCTATGTTTGGTCTGCATCATCTTGGAAGCGCACCACGAAACATGCCTGAAAAGGAAATGTATCATTCCTGAGCGGCTATGCCACTACCGTATCTCCTGGCGCTCACAGGGAACAGAATGCTTTGACCACTCAATATGATATGATTTGACTTCAGAAATGGCAGCCTCTATCGCAAACCCGACGTCGTGACACATGCTGAGTCTTCAAGCAATCTCCCTTGGCAAAGGCGCTCAAAACGCCATGTGAATGTGCAAGCCCTATACTGAATCTGATTTGTGGCCAATCCAAACAGAGGAACGCGCTTGGTTGCGACAGTCCGTCATGCCGAAGTCAGCCATGGTCTTCCAACCTGTTGAGAATTCCAAACTAACGATCTCCCAGTCTCTGAGATGCACCAGCACCTCCCATCCAGTGGACAAAAGCCAGAGTTTAAGGACCGAAGGAATTCTGGCGCAGATTCGAAAATCTGAACATCTACAGCATGCTGTGGAGTCATTGTAAGAGTTCGCAGGCTGCTCCAAGATTTCGTGCTGAACACGCAGTGCGACATGTACTAGAATGAACTGGAGACGGCTTTGAGACACAGAATCTGGCACAAGTTTCTGAAGCCTCGGGAATAAAGAAATACCTTGTCTCCGACAGCCCAAAGCAGCTGGACTGACTTGTAAAGATTGAGAGAAAAAATGCTAAAGCAAAATGAAAATATAATACCGTGGCCGGATATGCGCAGCATTCAACACTTGGTCTTAACCAAATCGTGGCTTGGAAAAATATGGGAAAAACTGCCATCTCATATCTCATGCCATCTCATGCTATCTCATGCCGTCTCATGCCGTCTCAACACTTACCGAGCACAGGCTTCTCCTACATGCATGACAGGCAGGCAATCCGCCTCCGCAATCCGCCTCCAGCATTCATGCAAGATGTAACCCGTCAACATACCCTTCATGCAAACAAACTAGATCAGAATCATCAGAAACGATATCACCTGAGCCTGAGGACTCAATCAAGGAACGACACCCGGATAAAGAAAGCGCCACACTCTCAAAGATCACCATCGAATGGCTGCGCAGATCTTTTCAGGTTTGGGCCAATGATGACACGCTGAAGGCACTCTCTTCAACTCAAACAGGTCTTGCGGTGCGGAACAGTTCGATAACAACCTGCCTCAGCAGTGTTTCTTTCATGTAGGTAGAAGGCCAAAGCAATCACGCCATACCACGACACATCTGGAGCATCGGGGCGAGCAAGCAACTGTTTCAGGGCAGTCCCTCAAACCTACAGCGGTGCCATGAGCACGGGCTATCTTTGGCCCTATCTTTGTGCATGTTGCACACAATTCGCAAGGGAATTGGTGACGAGATACGCAAACATTGGGGTGGAGACATGGTGGGCTTGCCAGCATGGCCTTTTCATGGACGAATTTTAGGATCGAAAAGAGCCTTGCACAAGTAACTATGCTACATGCTGGCATCTTCCTGGAAACGCGGGAGACGGCAATTCCTCTTCTGAGCATGATGACCACTGCAACAATTTTTTGCCTTTGATGCGATGCCAGGTGTACTTTACTTCCGCTCTGCCAGTCAACAGGCATGTCCCCAAGCTGGATGTCTGCCTTTGAAATATCATGGCCTGCACTGATTGCACCCTACTCAGCAGCTGAAGCATTGAAACCACGCAAACTGTTTCTCTGGCATCCTGAACATGGGCAGCTTCGATGAATGGACACTTTTTAAAGGAGTATTAGCTGGTGAATGCACAGGTGTTTCTGGCGTTTCCGTCCCGAGTGTCTTGCAGAACCTGAACTATGTCGTGACATGCGATTAATTCCAAGCCCTTCACTTGGCATTTGGCTTGTGAGAAGGGTGACCCCTGCAACCGCTGTTTTCTTGTGATGCGAGGCGCACCTTACTTTTGTTTTGGGAATCTTGAGAGTGCACAGACCTGTCCACTGTGGCAGGGAGCCAGCTGCACCGTTGAATCGCGGTCGCCATCCCCAGCTTTTCAGTTCAACAAACCTGTCATGACGCTGAAAGTTCGAGCAAGGGCATGTACAATGCTCCATTGGGGTCTCTATATCACATCCTCAGATCTGCAAAATGGCATGCGTGATTTCGCATGATTCTTTGCACACACCTGTTAAGGCAACACATGGCAACACTTTCAAGGAGAAGCCTTGGTGGACGGTTTTTTGGTTTCAAACGCAAAGATCTATGTAGGGATTCACCCTTCCTGAAAAGAGAAATACCTGGAAAAGTTAAAGCACTCCAAATTCGCAACATCTTAAGACTCTGTCGCGTTTGAACTGGGGTCAGCAGCCTCAGTTACGAATCATCCAGGAAGCCAGTGTCATGGAAAGCACTGCAGCCCTGGAGCCCATGTGCGACATCAATATTTTCCTTTGGGAAGAAATCTAAACTGCACTCAAGATGCAAGATATCTATAGATATCTTTGATATCTTTTCTTAGAAGAACTTGCGGCAACTACTCCCTACAAAATGCATGTGAATATCAGCTACTCAGGAAACAGTGAGGAAACAGGACTCTCAAAAACAGCGTTTTGACATGTTTTGACATGGGAACAGCTACGATGTTCAAAGGTGGCTGTCAAGGGGAGCCGTCCAATCTTGGTGGGAAAAGGGAACGATAAAACAAGTTAGGTTTGGGAATTGCATGTAAAACGTCGCTGTGTCACCTTGTCCGAAGCTTCAAGACAAATGGCTCAAATCTGCAGGATACTAACTGCACATGCACGCGCTCTGTCAACAAGGAATGTTCTGGAAGGCCGGGCACACATCTCTGCACACATTGCCACTGATGCTGCTTCTGTTTACCATTTCCAGGTCGTCAGGTGTCAAGCAACCTTGACAAGGGTGGACGTCACTTGGATGTCTCTAGAACTGCCAATGAGAGACCACGAGTTGGAGGTTTTCTGCAAATTTGGAAACAGCTGTCGGCGCAGGGCAACAACACCTGCACAATAGAATTTGCAAAATTCAGGCGACGTTGCATTGTTGCTCTATGTTTGGTCTGCATCATCTTGGAAGCGCACCACGAAACATGCCTGAAAAGGAAACGTATCATTCCTGAGCGGCTATGCCACTACTGTAGCTCCTGGCGCTCACAGGGAACAGAATGCTTTGACCACTCAATATGATTTTGACTTCAGAAATGCCAGCCTTTATCGCAAACCCGACGACGTGACACATGCTGAGTCTTCAAACAATCTCCCTTGGCAAAGGCACTCAAAACGCCATGTGAATGTGCAAACCCTATACTGAATCTGATTTGTGGCCAATCCAAACGGAGGAACGCGCTTGGTTGCGACATGCCGTCATGCCGAAGTCAGCCATGGTCTTCCAACCTGTTGGGAATTCCAAACTAACGATCTCCCAGTCTCTGAGATGCACCAGCACCTCCCATCCAGTGGACAAGAGCCAGAGTTTAAGGACCGAAGGAATTCTGGCGCAGATTCGAAAATCTGAACATCTACAGAGTGCTGTAGAGTCATTGTAAGAGTTCGCAGGGTGCTCCAAGATTTCGTGCTGAACACGCAGTGCGACATGTACTAGAATGAACTGGAGACGGCTTTGAGACACAGAATCTGGCACAAGTTGCTGAAGCCTCGGGAATAAAGAAATACCTTGTC